TATATATATATATATATATATATATATATATATATATATATATATATATATATATATATATATATATATATATATATAAAATTTGGTTTTGTTGGTTATAAAAACTTTTGGCAAAGTGCTTAATGGAAAACCAGAGCATATTTAAATTAAGGTACAACAAATCAACAAAATCCACTAGGCATCTTTATTACTAAATAGTTTCGTACCACAGTATGTGGCACTCTTCAGATAAATTGAGGTCAATTAATTTAGGTCAATTTAAAAAATTAATTTAGGTCAATTTATCTGAAGAGTGCCACATACTGTGGTACGAAACTATTTAGTAATAAAGATGCCTAGTGGATTTTGTTGATTTGTTGTACCTTAATATATATATATATATATATATATATATATATATATATATATATATATATATATATATATATATATATATATATTAAGATGAAAATGTTCTAGAGTGTGTATTATATAATTTCCATACCCAGCGCAAGCAGAAAGATGTTGTCTGCCGCGGCAGGGTCTCGAACCCGCGACCTTCGAATTACTAGATCGACGCTCTACCTACTGAGCCACACGGTCAGACGGATTTAAGACTGGAAATTATGAAATATATACTGAATGCCACAAACATACTCGTTTATATTAATTCATCATCGAACAATACTAGTTCCGCAAGTGTATTGTTCGATGGTGTATTGTTATTATTAATTGTTATTGTTTGATAGTGCATTGTTATTTATTACTAGTATTTTATGTATATATATATATATACTGTACCCGCGACCTTCGAATTACTAGATCGAAGCTCTACCAACTGAGCTACACGGTCAGACGGATTTAAGACTGGAAATTATGAAATATACACACTCTAGAACAATACACACTCTAGAACATTTTCATCTTAACATATTTCAGAGTATGTACATATTGTCTTCTAATCTTATTAGCTCTACTATGGTATTGAGCACTCTACTCATATATGATTCCAAACTTGATACTTGTCTATATATATATATATATATATATATATATATATATATATATATATATATATATATATATATATATATATATATATATATATATATATATATATATATGAGAGAGAGAAAGTGTCATGTATATCAATACGAAGGTCATCGCGTGTCTAGATGTGTACCAAGCTGCACTGATGAGGCGTAGGACGCCGAACTCTAAGCGCGCAAAGCATAGTGGGAGCACAATTTAAGCAGTTTAGAAAGCATATATGGAGCCATTTCTTGGAGACATGATAAAAATCTCCCTGCAAAAACATTTCACTGACAAACAGCTGCAATAATCAACTACTAAGCTTGAAATCAGTGCTCCCATCATGCTTTGCGCGCTTAGGGTTTAAGGTTTAAGGTTTTAAAGTTTAAGGTTTGCGAAGGACAACCTTTATTGAATTAGCTGTATATATATATATACATATATATGAAAACAACTCATATAACGCTAACAACCGCTACATAACGTTACACAAGTGGAATCGTAAACGTGGGAAACCGCAACATCCATCAATATAAAACAAAATGATCGTGAACAAACAAACACACATACATACAAACATACAAACATACAAACATACAAACAAACTCAGTGCGTGTGCTTCGATCACTTTGGTTTCCAACACCGAGTGACGAGAGATGATCCCAGAAGCATTTTGGCTGTGCCAGGTTCTTGAGCTCCGTTTTGCGGGCGACGGGATCATTTTCTCTGAGCTCGGCTTCAGGGATTTTCAATTAGTTTTGGGTTTCTTGCCTTGCAGTCGGGTGAGGTATTAACGTCTCTTTTCGCGTCCAGCGCTGCTCCGAGGAGACTGGGTT